AGGGAGAGACAGAGCGCGGGGGCGGGAGAGAGAGAGAGAGAGAGAGAGAGAGAGAGAGAGAGAGAGAGAGAGAGAGAGAGAGAGAGAGAGAGAGAGAGAGAGAGAGAGAGAGAGAGAAGAGAAGAGAGAGAGGCGCGTCGGCTGTGACCATCCGAGCGGGCTCTCGCTCAAGAGAGAAGTTGCGCCTTGGCCATGCAGACGGAGCCGCTGACCGGCAGCACGTGGTCGATTTGCGTCGTGTGCATCTCGCAGATGGACTTGTCGCGGCTGAACTCGTAGGCGACGCACCTTTCCGTCTGTGAAAGGAGAGGAGGCCGCGTGGGAGGCGAGGCAGAGACGGGGCGGCCCGGGCGGAGAGCTCCAGAGATCTGCTCTGTGTGCGCTGTGAGCGTGAGCGTGTGCGTCTCTCGGCGCACGTGGAAGCAGTTGCTGCGGCATGAGGCCTCGGTGTGCCTTTTGGTGCCTCTGAAGATGTGCTTTGTCCCCGTCGTGCCGTCCTTTGTACGGCAGACCCCGTTTCTGCCACCCTTCACCGCGACGAAGTGTCTCTCGGTCCCATCTGGTGGCCAGGCCGGTGGCGGAGATGGTGGAACTGGCGGCAGCGGGGGCTCCCCCGGCGGGGCTGGCGGGGGCGGCGGAAGCGGCGGAATCGGCGGCGGCGGGTTGGGTGTAGACGCGTGTTGGGTGCGCAGCGTGTAGCGGATCTGCGCAAACGCCGCCAGCACGAGGACTGAGTTCATGGACAGAGACGTGATAGCCGATCGGCGTTCAGTGAAGAGGCGCTGTCCGGCAAACCGGGCTGTTCACAGCCTTGTTATTGAGAAGAAAATACGTCCTATGGCGCTGTGCGCTGGTCTGTGAGAGGTTGAGGTGCGAGCCCTGGAGGCCCTGGGGATGGGGGGAGACTACCCGCGGGCCATCGCGCGCCTAGAAGGCCCGCGCGCAGGGGGGTGGGGCATTGAGACCAGTCATGAATGAGTGCGCGACACGCATGTTGCGAGCAGCGTTGTTGATGTTTTGTTCACATTCGTTGATGTTTTAGTTGAAAACACGAATCAGTTGCTCGATGGTGAGGGGTATGTCTGTGAGCCATGGGCGCCAAAAGTCGCCGCGATTTTTCAGGGGCACACACAGCGTCATGGGTACGGAAAGAAATCTCTCTCTGGGTACGCTGATACGTGTCGTATTGGTTGCCAGTTCGTAGACAAAGAATCTAAGTAAGTAGCCCTAATGGTTGGGCTGGCGCGTCAGCAGCCCGGCGCGGCGCCGGCCGGCTCTGCTGGAGCGGAGGGCCGGGGCCAGCACCCAGCAGGGCTGGCCCTAGCCGCTGTGTGCTGGCCGGAGAAAGTCCTGGACCTTGCTTGGAGCGATATCGTTGGGGATCCCCCCGCAGGTGCCGCTTGCCACTTGGTTAGAGGCTGCTGGTCGATACTGGACAACTCAGATTTTGGAAGATCTGGATGGAAACCGGAGAGCTCAGGGCAACAACGCAAGATGAGACCGGAACGCCGAGCCTCGCAACGGTGAGGGAAAGAGGCGCGGGCGGATGGTGCGAAGTGAAGGTATGGACACACGCCCATGCAGGCACCCCAGGGTTCGGACTTTTTGCGGGGTATGGTATGGTACAATCGCGCAACCCACCTCGAGACCATACGCCCCCGCCTGCTGACAGACCCAGCCTCCCGGCTGCCGGCCTCGGGCGGTCAGGACCATACCCCCCCACCCTTAGGGCCGCGGCATTCACACTGCGCATCTCGCGCACCGTCCGTCCCTGTCGGGTCAGCTGCCCACCGGTCGTGGCACCTCAGCCGAGCTTGGAGCCTCACTCCATCACACCGACAGGCCACGGCCGTTTGGATCCAGTTTCGCGCCAACTGTTGGCGCGAATGCCACGTCGTGTCACCAAGCGTGCCCGCGAGCCAGGCTTCGCCTCGCCAGAGGCAGCCACACACGCCAGCCCTGAGACTGAGGCAGGCTGGCAGAGCGCCGGCCGTGACCGGCAGCGAAACCTTACGGGTATACATACATATATGTGCACTGCCGGCGACGTCCTCGCCAGCCTCGAGCGCTGCGATGGGTCTGCCGCCCCGGCTAGCTGTGCCGCCTGGACCGATCAACGGGTCTGGCCCTCGGGCGCCGGCCTGCCCCTCAAGCCCGCAGACTGTGCCGCTCGGCTGATGCAAGACTGGCTCTGCGCCCTGCCTACTGTCCCGGTGGGCCCCCTGCCACCGGTTCTGCGCGGATATGACAGCCTGCAGTTCGGCGACTTTGGCGATACGCCGCCCACGATCTCCAAATTCCTCGCGCGTTGGGCTCTGATGCTGTACGTCTCCTCCACAGCCGAGGTCCCCTACCGCTATGTGCTGCCGACGTCGCGCGCTAGCTCGTGGGCTTGGCTCCCAGGCGGCCCGCACGCCGCCCGCCAGCGGGAGGCTGACTGGCTCGTTGCCGACGTCTGCGCCCGGCACGTGCCCAGCACTGAGGCTGGCGCGGCGGGCCTGGCGGAGGCGATCATGGCGCGGGCGCGCGGTGAGCCACCGGCTGGCCGCAGCCGCCGGGTCGCGGCTTCGGGCCGGGAGCCCTACCGCCGCCGGCTTCTTCGCGGGGGCGCGACGTGGGCGGGGCTCTGGTGGGCGGGGCTGCTGCAGGGGCGGGTGCTGACCGCGATGGGGCCGCGCGCGGCCGCGCTGCGAGAGGCGGCGCTCGCACGCATCGACGAGGTTGGCGGCGCGGCGGTCAGCAGCCGGCTGTTGCGGCCCCGCGACTGCTCGATACGCGTCGGCCTCCACGTTCGACGCGGCGATGCCTGCCAGCGGTGGGCGGCTCCGGCGGACGGCGCCGTCGATCCCGAGGGCGACTGCGGCACCGCTGTCGGCAGGCCGTGCTACGCCACCTCGCACTACCTGCACGCGGTGCGGAGCCTGGCACGAGCGCACCAGGCGCGCAGCCGCTCCCACGCCGGCGGCGCTGCCTCGGCCAACGGCGAGGGTTGCGTCACGACCATCCTCCTCGCATCGGACTCCCCCTCGGTGGCGCTCGAGCTGGCGGCGGCAGCGGCGGCTTCTCGCGACTTGCGGCTGCTGTGGGTCAACATCCGCCGGGGCGCTGACTGGGGCGGCACCGCAGAGCTGTCGAATCTCGGGCTGGGTGCGGCCGCCGCCGAGGCCAACTTCATCGAGCGGCGGAACTCGCGCGGCCTCCTCAACCGCAGCGCCGTCCTGGGCGCCGCCCTGGCCGACATCTCCCTCCTCGCCACCGCGCACGCCTTTGTGGGCACCGCCGCCTCGTGGCTCTCGCGCCTCGCCCTTCTCTGCGTCATCGGCCAGTCCGGGTCAGTGCCGCCGTTTGCGCTGGTCGACCGGCCGATGGCCGAGCTGTGGCACACCACAAAAGGCGGCGCACTCTGCCCACCGCATGGCGCCGCTCGTGCGCGCAGCGGGCCGCGGCAATGAGAGAGCGCGGGGTCGGGGGTCGGGTGTAGGTCGCGTAAGGTCGCGGGGGACGGTGACACACTGTAATGCATCTGGACCCTCTGGACCCACTGACGATGCCGTACGAGGACGACGGTCTGGAGTTATAGCTCCTTCCTCGGAGAGCTTTCCCCCAGAGATGATCCCCATGGGTTTATTTAAAAGCGTGTACAAGCCTGTTTTCTTACTAATTTCATTCCGACTTTTTCCGCCGCAACATAAACGCTGAGCCCTGGTGTCGAGGTGTCGAGGCCCGGTGTCGAGGGTGTCGAGCTGCTGTCGAGCTGCTGTCGAGGGATAGAGGTGTCGAGGCCTGTCGAGGCCTGTCGAGGCCTGTCGAGGCCTGTTGAGGCCTGTCGAGGCTGGTACCATGCTTGACCGTGTCGAGGGGTGTCGAGGGGTGTCGAGGGTGTCGAGGGTGTCGAGGGTGTCGAGGGTGTCGAGCAGGTGTCGAGTGTTGTCAAGGGGTTTTGCGTCTAAGGTGTCGAGGTGTCCAAGGTGGCAGGATGCAGTTGCAGCCCATCAACAAAACTTGGGCAGCAGTTGCAAAGCTGTTTCATCCCTTAGTTGCAGCCTCAGTTGCACCCTGTTGATGTAGCACAACCTGAGCACAACCAGTATACTCTCTGTGGACATTTGAGGACATTAAGTGCCGGGAGTCATTGCCACTGTGCACAAAGGTACTGTGCAGGCGCAGCACCGCAGCAGCGTCGCCGCTGCAGCAGCGTCGCCCCTGCAGCGCCACCGGCGCACAAAGCGCAACTGACCACAGCGCTCATGGCCCATTCTGGTGCCATGAGTCAGTGGACATTGCCACTGCACAAGGTGCTGTCCAGCAGCTAAGGGCTGCCAGTACCCCATCGCAGCAGCGTCGCCGCCGCTGCAGCGTCGCCGTTGCAGCCGAGCGTCGCCAGTGCACAAAGCGCAATGGACCACAGGTCTGCACTCATGGCACAAGCTCACTGGTGTGAGGATTCATTGCCACTGTACAAGGTGCTGTGCAGCACCTGAGGGCTACCTGAGTACTGCCATGTTTGCTGCATCAACAGGGGTGCAACTGAGCTGCAACTTGAGCTAGAACTTGAGAGGCTGCAACTCAGGGATGAAAGTACTGCCAGCCAAGTTTGATTGCTGCTGCAACCCTGATTTCTAACTCTGACTCCAATGGGTCTACATCTCTGCTGTGTTAGGATCATCAGAGGTGTCGAGCGGTGTCGAGCGGTGTCGAGCGGTGTCGAGGGGTGTCGAGCGGTGTCGAGGGGTGTCGAGGGGTGTCGAGGTGTCGAGTTTGGCACCTTGACACGGTCGAGCATGGTACCAGCCTAGATGGTGTCGAGGGGTGTCGAGGGGTGTCGAGGGGTGTCGAGTTGGTCGAGTTGGCATGGGGTGTCGAGGTGTCGAGTTGGTGTCGAGTTGGTGTCGAGGTTTGGTGTCGAGGTGTCGAGGCCAGGGCTCAGCATAAACGAACCCACACGCACACACGGAGTACCATGCCCCAAAGGCGGTAGCCGCTGTGCCTGGCGACACGTGTCGAGGGGTAGGGGGGCTGGGGGTAGCCCCCTGATCGGCACCGCACCCCTACCCTCCCCCCCAAACAGCTCGAACCCTGCTCGGTGTGAACACAGTTCGTACACCGAGCAGCAGCAGGGAGCGGAGCTAGTCCGAGGTAGGGGGCCCACAGCGCCCCAAAATCCACCACTGTGGGATTTCGCGCAAAAGCTTGACTCTGAAAAGCTCGCATATCCCTGCGTTGAGCGCTGTGGTCGCTGTAGACTGGCTTCTCACGCGCCGGGCAGCGGGGAGGGAAGTGGGAGCCCGAGCCGCTCGGCGGTCTGCCGCGCCTCCTCCAGCGAGATCCACTCCACCGCCTTCCCGTCCCGCAGCTGCGCCGCCCGCTGCCCGTCCGCCATCCACTTGACGCCCTCGCCGACGGGGCCGCCCTGCTTGCAGAAGCCCGACACCACGTCGCCGTCGGTGTACCGGAAGACGCCGCGCCCCTCTATCTTACCCGCCTTGAACTCGCCCTCGTAGACGTTGCCGTTGGCGAACCGGTAGACGCCGCGCCCCTCGCGCTCTCCCGCCGCGTTGTACTCGCCCTCGTACTCCCCCTTCTGCACCTCGCCCGAGCGAACCATCGCGTTGTTCACCTTGATAGCGTAGTCACGGTACAGCTGGACGACCACCGGCTTGTCGCCCTTGCCCGTGAAGGAGGCCGCCTCGATCGCGGCGATCACGCGCTCGTTACGCGGCCCCATCCCCTCGTCGGCGCGGTCCTCCATCTCCGCCACACGGGGCCCCTCGCCGTCGATCTCGATGACCTTGGGCGGAAGCTCTTCCAGCAGCTTGCCCAGCCCTGGGTAGTATGCGAGTTGCGCGAGCGCCTCGGTGCTCACCGCGCTCTCAAACGTCGTCCACCTGCCAGCGGAGGGGGGGGGGGTAGCGGAAGAGGAGAGCTGTGGTGGTGTGTGCTGGCGGGGCACCTCTGAGAGCGGGGTTGGGGACTCTCGCACGCCGCATCGCGGCGGCGGCGGTGGAAGGGAAGGGAAAAGCGAGGAGGGGGGGTGGGGGGAATGGAGGGGTCCGAACCCGCGAGCGTGGTAAGGGCGGCCGTTGTAGAAGAGGAAGACGGCGATCGCGCCCGGCAGCGCACCCGCTGCAGCTGCTGCCGCCACCGCCTCCTCCGCCGCCGCGTGCGTTGGGAAGCGCACGCGCCGCCGGCCCTCCTCGTAGCGCGGGTTCTCAAACGCCCCGAGAGCACGGCGCAGCTTAGCCTCGGCGCCGGCTGGAGTGCGGCGTTCGTCAAGAAGGCGGTTGACCTGGGAGATGATGTCCTCGCGAGTGCCGTCCCACCGGTCGAGCTCGAGCTCCTCCACCATCTCGTCCGCGACCACCTCGGCCGTGTCGTTGACGGGATCCATTACGAAGGTGACCGTCTTTGCCTCGCCATTGAGCTGCACGACGATCGTCAGCTCCGCCTCGGCGCCGGCGCCATCGAGCCCGCCGCCCTTCTCGACGAGGATGACCACTTCGCCGTCCAGCTCCGCCGGGCGGGCTGGCACGGAGCGGTGGCGGATGACGATCGTGCCGAGGGCAGAGGCATAGACGTCGCCCATGACCTGCGGAGGGGTGAGAAGATGGGAGGTGTTAGGAGAAGCAAGGGCATGTGTGCGGGCGAGAGAGTGGGGAGTAGAGGAGCGGCGGGCGGTGAGGGCGGCGGAGGGAAGGCGGCGCGGACATCGAGAGCTTGATAGAAGAGCTTGTCCTCGGTCGCCGTCCTTGGCTTTTGCGGGAGCGAGGAGAAGCTGCGGAGGGGAGGTGAAAAGGGCGAGGCGGGAGAGGGCGGTGAGCGAGCGTGGAGCGGGTGCTGGTGTATGGAGAGAGGCAAAAGAGAGCGGAGAGGTGCGTGCCATGGGCTTTTCAGGGCCCGCCCCCTCCCACGCAGCGCAGCCGCTGGGTCCGGGATGGGTCTGGGGCGGCGGGCGCACTCCCAGAAGAGGGCGGTCACGTGCTCGCCGAGCGGGTGGCGCAGGAAGCGCCGCACGTTGGCCAGATACTCTCCGGTCACGTCGGGGTGGTCCGGCGAGGCCCAGCCGTAAGTCAGCCCGGCGACTTCGCGGCTCAGCGAGCGCAGCGCCGCAACGGCCTCCTCCGGCGAGAGGAAGATGCGGATGCCTATCTCCGTCTCCATCCACTCCAGCTCTTGCCGGCGGAGGAGCTCGGGCAGCATCGCCTCGGAGCCGTCGGCGCGTAGGAACTCGGCGCGAAGCAGCTTGATAGCGCCCGAGCGGAGGGCGGCGACGAGATGCTTGTCGAGGGCCGCCAGCAGCGGGATGCCCTTGTGGTCGGCGGCGGTGAGCGCGCTTGGCTGCCCGTTGATGTGCTCACGTACGTGCTCACACCTGAAGCTGCCGTGCGCTTTGCAGAGGTCACCGGCATGGCCAATGTCTGGCCATTCGATCCGGCCGAGGTGAGGCATGGAGCGCGATCTGTGTAGTGGCATCCAGAGGACGGACCCCGCGGTCCTCCTGTTGGTCCTGCCGGAGAATTTTACCAGCTGCCGGAGAAAACAGCGCGCCCGCCTCTGCCAGGGGCCCCTCCACTCGCCTGCACCTGCTCGAACCCTGAGCACTGTGCGGCGTTGCACGCTCGAGGTCGTGCATGATGTAGTAATCATTGTCTTGAGTAATGCGCTTCTCTCGACCGAGAGCGCTAGCCTCTACCCCTTCGGTCCGTCGAATCTCGGCGCGGCAGATGCGACGCCGAGACTGACGAAACCTCCCTGTGGTGGGCTGCTGAGCCTCCCCCACACACAAGAACACCACTGGGACACCCATGACACACTAGAACAGGTATGCCACGAGGCGGGATGAGACTAGACGTCTCGGACGAGACTCGTCACTCGACGGAAACCTAAATCGTGAACATCGGGTTGCTGCGCGGCGGGTCAACCCCATTATGCGCAGTCATCCAGATGTCAACTGCACCTCAGACAGTCGCCGGCGTGGGCGGGAGGGGCGACTGTATCTGAAGGCGCGGTAGCGGTAGACGGGCAAGCCACAGCTGGCAAGATGCCGATCGCCATTGACCTTGCTCGAGCCGCGGCGAGCCCTGAAAGTGGAGCGTGTCAGGATCGATTGCTCGGCTGTGAACTGACCTCGCTGTGAATGTGACCGCCGTCACAGACACTATTGTCCATGAATGGTAGACTGAGAGTAGAGTAGAATCGGGTCGAGCGACCGGCCCAGTCGACCGTCCCCTCCCCTCAGCAGAGCGGGCGAGAATCCTAAAGGATTCACGCCTCCTCTGCCAGGGGCCCCTCCACTCGCCTGCACCTGCTCGAACCCTGAGCACTGTGCGGCGTTGCACGCTCGAGGTCGTGCATGATGTAGTAATCATTGTCTTGAGTAATGCGCTTCTCTCGACCGAGAGCGCTAGCCTCTACCCCTTCGGTCCGTCGAATCTCGGCGCGGCAGATGCGACGCCGAGACTGACGAAACCTCCCTGTGGTGGGCTGCTGAGCCTCCCCACGCTCGACCTTTGAGGTAGTATGATGGAAGGTCGATGCCCGGAACGGCCTAAGCTCAGCTGAACCCCACGCATAGACCTCCTCGAATCACCTCAAAGGTAAGGGATGGCAACTGGCGGTTGAGTCGCTGACGTCGCACGACCATGCGCCCGAGAGACCGATCGTGATTATCGACCGATCTCGCAACTATCCCAGCGAGTAGTCCGGTGCTCCGGTAAAACCCCCCCGCCCCCGCCGTAGCGATGACGATGAGGAAATAGCACCCGACGCGAGTCGGGCCTACACTCGCTTGGGTGGCAAGCACGCCACAGTTGCACTCATCAACAGTGTCAAACACCGTTGCCACTGTCGACTTAAACGATAGCAGCTGCCGACCTGATTGCTGCTTCGTCGTGACCCAAATTTTAACTGAGCGAGTCGATGATCCTGCCCATACGGTCTGCTGCTTCGACGTCGAAGAGCATTACTCCGACCGTGTCGTCAATCGACCATTGTTGCCCCATCGACGACATCGGCCGAAATCATGCGTCGCGCAAGGCAATTGAAAGATCGACCACGAGTGGATCGATCAACCTGCCCATCTGGCGTGCGCCCAGAGCTGGTCTGGTAGCAGCCAGTGGATCTCTCTGAATCTGAATCCGAGCGTGAGACTAGTCAAGCATCTACTCAAAGTCCCTACACAGAAAGAGGCGAGTGAGGGACGCTCTCGGCGGATCTCTGGACAGCCTCGGCCGATCTCGGCCCACCTCGGCCAATCTCGGCCAATCTCGGCCAATCTCGGCCAATCTCGGCCAACCTCGGCCGACCTCGGCCAATCTCGGCCAACCTCGGCCTATCTCGGCCAGCCTTGGCCATCCTCGTCCACCCTTGGCCCACGCGCCAACCACCTCGGCCCACGCGCCCAACAACCATGGCCCACGCGCCAATCTCCCATCAGTGGTCGATGGCGGGCCCATCGAGTGCCCTCCCGCCATCGCCTCCGGCAACGCCCCAGTCGAGTCCGGTGTCATCAGTGACAGGTCCATTCGACCGAACCGAACCCGCCCGACATCCTCGGCGGCCGTCTCTCAGGCCCTACGCCACGCGGGCCGAAGGGTCAGAGATTGACCGTGGAGCGCGCCGCACTCGCCTGTTGCCCCACACGAACACCACGATCCCCATTTAGGACGGGTAGTCGTGCGGGGCGCTCCCAGCCACACCGACTTACTCGGGAGCGTGTTGACGGCGCCACATACCTCCATAACTACTCGGAGGGCGGCATGTCGTGGCCCGTCCCCCGCCCTTGAGGGCGTCGAGACGGGGCCGACCGCGTCTGCCGTAATGAACGGCGGCGAGTGAGGTCGACCCTCGCCCATACCTCCATCCACGGCCATGCGACACGCGGAAGAAAGCTGAACGGGAGCCTAGGGTCGGTCGGCAGCAGCCCGCCACCTGCAGGCTGCTGCTCGACCGCCCTGGAATCAAAGGCGGGGATGCCAACCTCTCGTCTGGCCCACTGAATGTATGTCGCCCGTACCCGGCCGCTGCTCCCGGCAGTAACACGAATACGGTTGACTGTCCATCCGGACATTCGAAAGTATCAACTCGCACCCGGTCCCCGCTCCCGGCAGGAACACGAGTACGAGCCAGCTGGGTTCTGCTCCCGGCAGGACCAACAGCTGACGATACTCTCGTCTCCCACGCTCGGTCCCTGAGACCAGTTACACGAGCGCGAGAGTCAGCCGGGCCCCGCTCCCGGCAGGACCACAGCTGAATTCAGCGAGCGTACAGGCTCGAGGTGGCATCGCCTCCTGATCCGCAGCGGTTGCGTCGCTACGAGTAGTACGCTCGCGGTTCACCACCCTGCACCGAGCAGAGCGCGGATCCAGAGCATATTTCATATAGATCCGCAAGGCAAACCACGGCGACCATCCCGCTGACAGCAGTCCATACTGTGGCCACGGCCTCGCGTCGTTGCTTCCACGCGCTGTCTGCAGAGCCCGTAAATACAAAATCCCCGTCAGGCGCAGACCCGTCTGAAGCCGCTGCTGACGCACAGCCGGCGGGTCAATCAGACACTGGGTGCTGGCCGTCGATGGGCTGAAGTGTGGGTTGCAGGGACAGCGCGCGAGGAACTGAAGCAGAATGCATCGGTCTGGGTCCTATCGACGCCAGACTCGACCATATGCCGACTACCTGCCTCCATTGCGGAGGTAGGCGAGGATGGACTGCCACTTGGCATCTGTCCAAGTCTGGGGAACCGCACTGGCATCAAAGATAGTGCCAGAGAGGCGCCCCAAAACACTGCAACGGTAACGACACTGGCATAGCTCGCTGGATTGTTGGCCTCGCAATGGCGACCCACCATCGAGGCGTCAGCGGCCGAGCAATATCGCAGATGCTGTCGCGTAGGCCGGCCGGGACCACATCGGTGAGCTGACCCAGCAGAAAACTCGACGACAACAGACATTCAACGCACACCAGTTACTTTGACTGTGCGCTGACTCACGCGTCCCCGCGCCCGTAGAGGAAGCGAGGCAGTCGAAAGACGAGCGCGGTGCCGTCAACGACGACACTCGGCTCGGCTGCACCCACCGCCACCACGGCAATCGCACCGACAAAAACGATAAACGTAGAGAACCGCAGGAAAGCATGGCACCGCACGCGCCAGCAAGGCACGAATGACGTCTGAGCGAAGCCAAGGCTCTCTGCGACTGTATCTGAAGGCGCGGTAGCGGTAGACGGGCAAGCCACAGCTGGCAAGATGCCGATCGCCATTGACCTTGCTCGAGCCGCGGCGAGCCCTGAAAGTGGAGCGTGTCAGGATCGATTGCTCGGCTGTGAACTGACCTCGCTGTGAATGTGACCGCCGTCACAGACACTATTGTCCATGAATGGTAGACTGAGAGTAGAGTAGAATCGGGTCGAGCGACCGGCCCAGTCGACCGTCCCCTCCCCTCAGCAGAGCGGGCGAGAATCCTAAAGGATTCACGCCTCCCTGAGTTGCCGGGAACGGCAACTGGGGTCCGTTCTGACTAGTACATGTAACACGTTCTGGCCCTCGCCATTCTGATCATTCCTGGAAGATGTTCCTGGAACACCCTCGGACCGACCCAGGTGGCCGGCCGAGTAAAACCCGGGTATCTTGAGCACTTGAGCACTGGATAGGGCCGATTCCGCGTGGTACGGGACCCCTCGATCGTCTCGCCCTCCCTCACTGGTATGTTCATTGGGGGGGGTCATAACAAACACGGTACAGGATCGAGGTGCACGCTGCCGAAGCAGTGTCGTCCCCCCTCTCCCCGTCGGCGATGGCGGTGTGACCGATCGAGCTACAAGAGGCGGACTGGACACCAACGCGGTATGGGTGGACGCTGGACAGATGATGACGACACGCACGAGCGACACACAGACACAAACAGGCTCACAAGACACACAGCCAGCTGGCTGCCACACACCCTGAGTCGGCGTACACATAACTCAGGGCCACACACACACACACTGAGAGAGAGAGAGAATTCTTGATACGAAACCACGACGACACACACCAGTCGACTCGCATCGGTTGCCTCCATGAACGGCGGAGCTATTCTCGCGCCCACACCACACCTGGCTCCAACGTGGACACGCCCATAGCTGGGGACACTACTAGGTCACGCATGGCATCACAGAAGTTTTATCTCTGGGCCCCGAAAGGCATCTCTAGCAGTGTCGTTACACATGCTCCCTCCCCTCCTGGGCGCATGTGCCTCACGTCTCGCCAGAGCATAAGCCCTTGGCGTGTGGCGAGACGAGTTTTTCGCCATGCAGCGAGCAGCAAGCCGCCCGCCGCAAACAGCCGGAGGCATCGCCACGGCACTGGCTGCGCCGCGCTCCCGCACCCGTCGACGAAGCTCCCCCCGCGGAAGACCGCGCGTAGCGACGCCTTCACGATCGAGATGAGCGCGCTCGAGGCTCGCCCACCTACTGCC